TAAATAACACCGAAAAATGGCCAGTAAATGTGATTGATCAAATTTGCTCACTGTTGTATGAACAAAATATAGTGTGATGGTGATTGGCTAACTTTAAAAGATTTTGTTATGAGATAAGAATGTTTTAACGTTTTGAGCTTACCAACGGCGTTCGCTATCTCGTCTTGGACCTTACGTTGAATATCTGAAAAAGCGACCATATGCAACAGGGCAAACCCCCGATGTTTTTTTGGGCCAGTGATTTTAGGGCCAAAGCTTAAAAAAAAAATGAACATAAAGTTTTTTTCAATTTTAGGGAAAAAAAAAACTGTTCCAGAAAGGAGAAAGAAATTTAATAAGGTCGAAAATACCCAGAACAAATTTTAATAAAAAAATAAAATATCCGGCCCCGAAGTTGTCAATAAAAATGTCAAAATTAAAGGGCTATATAATCAAAAAAAAACCCGAAAGAAATAAAAACCGGAATATGCCGTTTAAACCCAAAGAATCGGGCCCAATTTGGGAAAAAAAAATGGATTTGAAATGTACAAGTTTTATAAAAATTTGTAGTTTTTTTTTTAATTTTTTATAAATAATTTTTTCAAAACAAAAAATTTTTTTACCACACGATGTTTTTTTGTTCCCAAAAGTTTTCAAAATTCTATTTTTTAAAAGGTTTTCAAAATTTTAAAATGTTTGGAAAAATGAAAAGATTGTAAACCAAATTTAACCGAAAATTTTAATTTTCAGCAAGCGTCGGGAATTTTTAAATTTTAAAATCTTCATCCGGGGAAACTAACGCTTGAAAACCTCCTCTTTTTCTGCTTCCCTCCCGGAGAAAAAAATTAAAAGGTTTTCCATTTAAAAATGTTTGTTCATCTCCCAAAAAAATTTTTTAAATTTTCTTCATTTTAAAAACCCAACCACATCAATGGACAAAAAAAGAATAAAATTAAATTTTGTTTTAAGATTCCCATAATTTCACCCTGTAAACAAAAATAAAGATTAGAGTTGGGAAATTTTTTTCAATTTGGGCCTTTTAAACGAAATAAAAAAAAAAAAAAAAGGGGTTTGGGAATAATAAACATATTCCACAAGGGCAAATGCTTTAAAAATTATGGGAAAAAAAGGGTTGGAAAATGGGAACCGGGGGTAGGGTTTGCCGGGTTTCGTAAAATTTGAAAAAATAAAAATTTTTCAAGATCCCAAAAAATTAATTTTGGGCATGTACCAATTGGTTAATTTTTACGAGTTTAAAGGGTTTGAGTGGGAAAAAAAAAGCGGCACCTTTTTCCGAAAAGAAAGGGGGAAAAACTAAAAAAAAGAAATTTGGGAAAACGGGTAAAAAAACCTTTTAAAGCAAGAATGTAAAAACCTTCCCCATATACTTTATTTTCTGAAATGAGTCGATAATAATGACCAGGGATGTTATTATATGGAAACTCACCTTTGTTAAAAGTTGACTCTCTTGCCTTGTATTTTCTCCTAATGAAACCTTCTATTAGACAATCTTTTAATCCCTCCAATTCTTTAAATGCTTTTGACTTGTATACATATCTTAGACCTGGTATAAAATCTTCAGGCACACCTTCTGTAATTTATTTTTTAATCAGTACATCTTCCATTTTTCAAAAGATGACTAAATTCTTTATCGTTAAAATCGTATCTGTGAAAATATCAACATGAATTGGACAAATAAAAGGTTTCTAATATTTTAAAAATGACTTTGAAAAAATTCCGTTTCCAGGATCAGTGATGTTAATTCCATCAGATTTTCATTGATTATATTTAATCAGTAAGGGGATTTTAATAAACAAATATTATTTCATGGATATGATTTTCATGGAACTTTTACATTGAAAATTTCAGGAACATGATTTAATGTGAATTCTTAATTTTTTTTTGAGATTTCAATAAAATAATTTTATGAGAATATTTAAAAGTTAATATTTTAGTTACATGAATGTTAGCAATTACTTTACATTACTTATTTTATCAAAATGATTTTAGTCGATATTGAACTGAATATTTCAGTGACATTAATGTGAGTACATGTTTAACTTTTACATTGAATGTTTCAGATGATTGTTTGTCAATCGTGACATGATTGTGAGCGGATAGCGGATATTCAACATTGAATATTAAAATGACTTTAAGACTTTAGAATCACCATTTGTATAAAAAGGCACAAAACATATATTTCCAGACTTCACTTACTTTTCACCAAAGCACATGCTCGTCAGAATGTTGGTAACAATAAAATTGATGTACTGTCCGGGATCAAACTGACCAGAGACTTTATCGATTTCAACAAACGCCGCATTTACTGCTTCAAATAATCTCTGCTCTAAAGCGTCTCCTTGCAAGTAATTTCTATAAATTGAGAAATTCACGCATGTTAGTAGGTGTTTTAAATGTCTTTCACAATACGCTAATCCTACTCAAACCACAAAATAGAGTAAATGAAACCAAAATCAATCAGTCACTTAAATAATCAATTATCACTCAATATTTCAAAAAGAGAGAGAAAAGAATAATGTATAAAACAAAACATTTTATACAAAATGAAATAAATAAATGTGTAATATAACCGTCCATTCAAGGTATACACTATGAAAACATTCAATTACAAAAATATGTAACTTTGATCACTTTTCCTATAATCAAAGAAGCATCTTATAAATATTTAATTTAAAAACAAATTTTGCCTTCGACCTAAACAATAAGCAGCACTCGTATAGCTTATAGTTTTATTTACTTTTATTAAAAGTATCATTGTAAATCTGATCAAACATTGTTGAAATTAAATCATGATTTCAAAAGGAAAACCCTAACTAAAGTTATAAACGAACTTAAAGATATTGTTTAGTTCTTAAGAGCATGAATGTGTACCTGTTAAAAGGCTGACACTAACTGTTAAGTATCAAATATATACTATAAAGAAAAGTTAGACCCCAATATTGTGCTTTCGACTAAAAGTTTATATGAACAAAGTTTGTTATGAACAAAATAGTATTATGACGTGTTTATTTTATATGTACATTAGCTAGAATAATGGAAAGCAATTTTTGAGCCAGTTTAAAGTTTTAAGACAGACAGAATGATTCACAAACAGATCAAAAAAACATACTGCCGAATCGTTTGATAAGAATGGGGTGTCGGCATGGAACTATTTAGGATTTCAATTTATTAAAACGTGTATCACTCTACACTTATAAAATAGTTCAGGTCAGCAACACATTTTATCATAAAACAGATAAGAAAAGAGCCATGATGCACATTTATCGCACACGTTGTGAGTATGGAGAATGGAGACATAAAATTACACAGAACTGATGATATTGAAAGACATGCATAATATTGATATCTAGATTTCTATGTCAACTGATATCAAAGTTTAAAACTGCAGCAGTAGTTTAATTTTCAATGCAGTAGCTCTCAGTGCAAATAAAAATGTAACTGGGACAAAATATAGGTCAAAATTAAATTCTGCATTTGAAACTGCGCATATAGCCTAAATTGCATAGCTTTATCACGGGTAATTCAAATTAAAAGCTAGGTCAAAGTTCAATTTTGCGTCTGAAACTGTGTCATAAATCCAAATTTCAGAGCGTTAGTTTTGTTTAAAATCGTATATCAATTGGTCAAACCCTAAGTCAGCAAATGTCAATGTTCATTATGCATCTGGTCCATATTTCATAGCTGAAGCTTTGAATACAAATAAATATGTCACAGGGTTTAAGTTTTAACTATAGAGATCTAAGGGAAATCCGTGACCTACCTCTGTGGGGCCAATTTAGACTCAAGGGTTATAATTAAATCAATTTTGTTAGAGGTCTAATAGACAATGTTTCATGCTAAGCTTTAGCCTTCATTGTTTTAGAGAAAAAGGAACTTTTTAAGTATTTGCTATATACAAATAAGGAAAATCCATGACCCCTGGGGTGAAGCCAAATCAGGCTATAAGGGCAATAATTTGAACAAACTTGGAATATATCCACAACGTTTAATTCCAAACACATATCAAATTGAGTGTTCATTGCTTTTGAGAATAAATATTTTTAACTTAATATAGTTATAATCTTCAAAAGGCAGGGCAAATTTTTGATCCCAGAGCTAAATTTATTTTTATTCTCAGATGTTTTTCACAATACAAAACATTTATGCACAAACATACAATATATTGAGATATAATTTCTTTCTACAAAGATAATAATGTTAGCAATTCAATGGTATAATTGTTCCAATATTGTAAAACGTTATTAATGCCAGTAACATTGGAAAAAGATTCCTTTTCAGAAGCTTTATTTTATTACATTACAATATTATAGAACTTCTTAAACATAAAGGAGATCCCAATATCACATTGATACTTATTTTGACAAAAGTGTCATCAACTCAAGAGAAACAACTCCTACTATTTTGATATTGATGTTCAATTAAGAGTTGTACCTCTTGTCATGAATACTTTATGCATTTATATCATTATTATTAATGATTTTATAATTGTGTTTTCAAAAGCTGGGCGACGTAACTTTTAATAGAACTGAGTTCTTTGATATGCATCGATAAAGAGTATACTTTCCAAACAAAATTAAAGTCAATGTTGCATTAAATACATTTAAGTGTTCAATTGTTCATTGCCTATACTAAATTGTGTTAAGGTCAATGTGCGTTGACATCAGTACATTTTAAATTAATCGATGACTTGATATCTTCCCAGAAGGAAGAACTTAACTGGCAATCCCAAAACAGATAATAAATATTTTATAGTTTCAATATGGTTGTTGCAGAAAGAACATATATAATGTATATTAATATAATATATAATTAATAACATCTTTTATTCTCTTTTTATGCATTTTATGCATAAGATAATTCGTCGCCTGTATTCTGTGATTAACTTATACTGAAACCATTGTAAATATGAATCTTTTGTAATATTAAGGTATCGGATGCCTAATGCAGTATCTCCTTTCTGGAGAATATTCATTTTCAGTGAGGAGACAGTTTCGATAGTGCGTGGGTTCATTTTTTTTTTTGACAATTATAATTAAAAAAAATCTGACGGGTTTTCTTATCCAACCCTCTTCTTTTTTTATGTAAAATGATAGACAGGTAAGTAGATCAATAAGCAAAAGCAAATATTTTATATTCATTGATACATTGAATTTTTTGTAGTCCTTCAAAAATGTAATTTCAAGATTTATGTTGCACTGTCTAAAGTTTATTTATCAAAAAGTCGTCTCCATATTTACTTATATTTGATAGAAAAGGGTACACTCATGTAACTTACAAAACAAGTTTTTAGTATCATACATAAATATCCTTCATTTCCATTATGAATGTCCCTAAATTTATCACACTGAGACCCCATTATGAGACGAAGTGCAGAGCATTACAATTGGGTTGCTACCCCCAATGGCAAGGTCACACTGAAAGGTCAAATGTAAAAAGTCTACATTTGTGTACACTTCACACCTGATTTTTTAAAATAATTTAGCACAAGTGATTATTATGAGAAAATATGCAGGTTGCTACCCCCAAGGTCAATGTACACTTGAAGGACAAGTGTTAAAAGTCTATAATTCGTGCCCGCTTCATAACTTTCAAAGCACTGAAAATAATTGAAATATCGTGGCACAAGTAATCCCAATTATGGAAAGATTAGCAAAGTGTAATTATTGGGTTGCTTCCCCTCATGTCAAGTTAACACTTAAAGACTACTTTTTGTGTTTCCGCTCCATAACTTTTAAAAACCGCTGAAATCGTTTTTAAATAACTTGGGAGAAATGATAATCTTAAAGACATGATGTGCAGAACCCAACATCCAGGTTGCTACCCCTAAGGTCAATGTAAAATGTTTTCCATAACTTTTAGACTTTCTGGAAGATTTTATATAAATACTATCATAAGACTATTTGCTTATTATATTCATGGCACAATATCAAGATCATGGTCTGTTCAAGGTCAAGAAATATAGGGTTAATGCACGTTTTCCGTGTTATAACGTCTGCAGAGTCCCGAGGAACGGTTGGTGCCCGAGCCCGGTAGGACTCTGCAGACTTTATAACACGAAATAAACGTGCGTTGACGCTATTATAGCATAAAATTTTCAAACAGATTCGTGATGTATATATTTATACAAAACACAATTACATAAAATTCTTGTGCTTAGACGGTATTTATCCAATTCTATGTTTTACGTATGCGTTTCATTTTTCCGGGGCCAACAACTTGGAAAATTCTCGGAACCGAACGAAATTTTGAATTTTAATTGATTTAACAAAGCTTGGCCTTTGGAGATTTATTATCTCAAGAAAAAAAAAACGTTACATTACTCTACCCTCTACCCAAGACAAAACATGACCCTCAGAAATTCTTAGAGTGATTTCAGATTGACGGTAGAAAAAAGATCAGTGACATCAGAATCGGTTGTTTTTTTTTCAAGCAAACAAGTTTATAAAAAAATCAGGCACTAAGCATTATTCTCTCAAAGAAATATAAATAGCATTTATCAACATTAACATACATAAAAAACATTTTCTCATATTAGTTTTGTGTTATCTAGTTTTGTAAGTTAATCGGAGTGTTAAACTGAATGACAGGTAGATTCTACTGTGTTCGTTTACATTGACAACTGTCGTTTCTTAGAAAGGGCGACAACCAATATTAGCACCGATGTCTATACGCCGTTTTTCCGGCATAGTTACTGGAATATGCGACTAAGGCCCTCGAATCAATAAATTTCAATATAACAAGAGCGCATGACTCTTCGGCAAACAGGCCAAATCGTCATTTTTTTTTGTTTGTTTACTGGGCCCTGTATGTATTGCGCATAGGTGAAACTGGGCTATAACAAGAGCGCGTGACTATGTTAACACATGGTTTTGGCCCCGTTATAACATGGGCAAAAGAGGGAAAAATAGCCGATTTTATGCTATAATGCATATTCATGTCTGCTGCGGAAGGGGATTTAGCTGTACTTCAAACTGCCTTGTTTTAATTTTAATGTGGCCTCGTAATTGTGGATTGGTACACACATGTTCTCACTACCACATGTAGTTATAATCGTTTTTTATGTAAATAATATCCTGTCATGCGGATGTTTAGATTTGCTTAATTTTCATTGATCGCAATGTACAGGCGTGCATGTTTTGCATCACGTAGTATAACACATTTAATTAAATGCGATATTGATTGGCCTTTTGCATCATGTAAGTACAAATAAAAGGTCGATGTCACCAGTTATTGCGCTTCTTATTTTATACACGTCTTAAACATCAAATTTTGTTGATACTGGATAGAACTGCTGGCATATAGTAAACATATCAAAATAAATGATGTACTTGTAACATATGTCCTTGATTTTGCGAGTTCGATGTTTTTGTTTGTTGTTGTTGTTGTTTTGCACAAGCGATAATGGAGAAAATGATTATAATCATATGAGCGGCCAAACAAGGACAAAAATATACATAAATGAAATCGCGATAAATAAACATAATTATACTTAATATGTTTATACAATGGCGTGAAATTATTGTATTTGGTTAATATTAGACAGGGTTTTATCCATTTTTGCCGACAAATTCAGGCAATGATTCTGAAATTTGCTCCTCTTTTTTATAATTTCGTGCTTTGAAAACGATAAAAAAGCTTTTTTCCGTATTTTTTATACTTATGTTTATGTTAGTATATTTGTATATAGATGGTTCCGGATGTTGTTCTTTTTTTTCATCAGAAATTGACCCATTTAATTGAAAGGTTTGAAAACAAATGAAGACAGACGCAAGGACGCGCTGATAGATGATTGACGCTGAACACATTTTGACTACAAAAGCTCACCTTGAGTACAATGTACTGTTCACTATTAGGGTATTTAATTTAGGCAATACTAACATGGTATAGACTCGTGCACTTATGTCTTTAATATGCAAATGAAGACTATAATTAGTTCGTGCATATCCACGGCAATCGAAAGTGTCTCAATACTGTAGTTATCCGGAACAAATGCTTAATTTTCAAATATAATACTGGTGTGCAAACAAACCTTTGCCGTAGATCTTCACAGTACACTAGGCCATTTGCCCACAAAAGATTAACGACGAATTTAGTATAGTCTTTCTATGCAAAGTACCCTTATTTAATACGGAAATCCAACATTAAATTTGGACTGCTACTTTTGGTGCTCTAATAACCAAAAGGCGGATTTTTCATGCAAATATAAATTGTAAGTCGGTTTCGTCATACAAATGTGGAAGGAAATGTATGCCTATAAAACTAGGATTGGTTGTGTGTACACTGACATATGAACAATTTCGAGTCGACAAACAACCCCAGTTTTTAAACCAAATACACGTATAGCAATTACGGTTGCTATAAAATTTAGAAAAATGAAACTTTAAGAATAAGTATCAAATTAGGATTTTACGAAAATTTAAAAAGATTAACGCTAAAATACCTATATAATATGAACCCTTATTCTGTTTGAATTGTGAAGACAATGTTTGATAATTTACCGCAATGCCTTTGAAGCAATTGTTCTGTGAAGTTTCCATGTTTGTCCATAATCACTGAACGCAATATCTTTTCCACCATTCGTGAACAATTCAGCTTATAATAAATTGAAAACATATATGATAATAAAATATATAATATTCATTTTCGCTATGAAAATCAATAGTTGCCGTAAATCAACTGGTTATGAAGGTGAATTCAATGGTGGCTCTAGTAGCAACCAGTTGTTAAGGAAAGTCAATGGTTGGTATGGAAGTAACTGACTGCTATTGAAAGCCAATGAATTAGTATGGAGGTCACTGGTTCCGAAGG